AAAGTGATCAAGGTATTTTTTGTTCCATTTTGAGTACAACTACCCCTTAGACAAATAGTCAATTCACCTTGTGAGTGTGTGATCATTTGTAACCCTTTTAGATTTTTGTCGATATCCATGTTGTTTTTGCTAAATGCTTGTCTAAGAGTGTTTAGTTTCCTTTTTTTTTGCATGGATGTTGATTCTTTGTTTTCTTGAACCCTTAACTTTTATTTGTATTTGAATTTTTATCTTGCCTTAGAAAGTAGGGAGTATTCACATTATGATGATGGTTGGATTCAAGTTGGGGAGAAAAATGATTGCGTATTTATGTTGTGATTGCTATGAGGTTGAGAAGGAAAAGAAAAGAAAAAAAAATAGAAAAGTGTTGAAAAACAAAAACAAAAATAGTATGGAATAATTGTGCTAATAAGTGATGTGTTTTGGTTTAAAATGTGTGGTAAAGATGAAGTTTGATTGGAATTTTATTGTTTGAAACTTTGTGGAAGTAATTACTCCCTTAGGTTTAGGCAAATTTTTGTTTCGATTAGCTTTAGGACTTATCCCTTGTTTGTTAAACAAACCACATTACAACCTTGAAAAGCCCTTGAGATTCTTGCCTTTGTACTTTTCAATGTAAATTTTTGGATGAAGGCATAATTTAGTCTATTGTTTGCAAGATTGTTGGATGAGTGAAAATACCCCATTTTTGTGTGTTTTTCATCTATCGATGATTATGTTTGCTAGGTGTGATTCATTTGTGAACTAGTATTGTTTTAGAATGTTTGGCATAATTTTTGTATTTAACATTTGTCTCATGTTTATGTTATCGTCGTAGTTTAGTGGTAAGCATGTTTCTTCGTGTGTACCGTTTTTCAATTGAGTCGTTGCATTTGTTTTCCGTTTTCAAAACTTATTGATGCATGATTCTTTGGTTTATTACTTTTAGTTCTTTGAGTTGTTTGGCCTTGTTTGAGGACAAACAAGTTCAAGTTGGGGAGAGTTTGATAAGTGTAAATTGTAGCTATTTGTGTATATACTTTTTGTTGCACTTATCGACTTTTTGTTTGTAATATTGTTGAATAATCCCGACTTTTGTATAAATACGTTTAGTTTATGTTTATTTGTGTTTTTGTGTACATAGTGTATCGTTTGATGTTTTTCCATTCATTTTGTAGGTATTTGTTTCATTTTGGAGCATTGAGGAATAAGGTGTCAAAGGCACGGCTCTGAATGCGTGTTTTCAGAATAAAAAGGTCAGTTTTGGGACTTGTTGTCCAGGAGAGCCCGCTTAGCACGCAGGAGGCCGCTAAGCGCGAGTGGTGCTCAACGTATTTTGTAGCGCACTGCTTGTGTTCTATTGTTTTGGTAGAACCAAAGTTTTGAAGCCCGCTTAGCAAAGATAGTGCGCTTAGCGCGGTTTAGGTCAGTTTAATGTGTAAATATCGTGCAGCCCGCTTAGCGCGCCGAGGGCGCTTAGCATGGCCTGCTGAGATTTGTTTTATAACTTCATTTTTAGTCATTTTTAGGTTATGGTTTTGGGGAAGTTTTTGCTCCCAACTCCATCACCTTGTAAATTTTTTTAGGATTAACTTAGATAACAACTATAGAGCTTGCATATAGATGATTTGGGGTGGATTGCTCTTCGATCGGTGTTGACAAACTAGTAGATCTGCGGTTCATTTCTCTTCCTCTTTGTGTAATCTTTTATGGTTGGGTTTGTATAAATATTTTCTTTGATCTAATGTATATTTGTCTCCCTTGGCGTTATATAAAACTTGCTTTATAAATCTTTGTGGATTGTTGTCCTAGATTTTTGCTCTGTGCTAGGGATTTGAGTTGTTATCGACATATAATAATTAGGTTCTTATCTAGGATGATTAATCTGTTAGTTTCTGAACTCTAGAGATAGATTTAGAGCTGATAATCTACTTGGGTATTGGAGCTTAAAGCCTCTGTGTTGTTTGTGTCATTCTGAGAGATCATCGATACAAGCAAACACGATTGACTCATGTATTGTCGAAGTGGTTGAGAGATCGCTACCGAAGTGATGCAATCGGCCTTTTAATTTGGGTTAGAAATGACTTAGGTTGTGAGTGATACGTAATGACATTGATGAGTAATGTTAGGTTGAGTGTAACGGGACGATAGGTTTAAGTCAGTGATATCATACCATCATGACATCATATCATATCATGACATCATACCATATCATTTTCACTGACCATTTCAAGAATCTCAAGGGCCTGTGATAGTATCATGAACCAGACGTATAGCAAAGGGTAAGGGGATTTATTTTCCTCTAACCAATGTCGTTAAAGATCTAAGTACGTTATCTTGAGTCAAAGGTTAGGACCCACTCAACATGGTGAGCTTGATTCTCATAGAAGGACATTCAACGACGCAAAGTCCTTCAGTCAAAGCTGCAGCCAGACTCAATTTCTAACACTTCTTTTTGTTTACCCGCGAGATCCTTGAAAATATTGCATCCGCATATCATGCATATCATCATATAACAGGTACTTTCTAGACATGTTTTCTCATCTGCTTGCTGTTTATTTCAGTAAAAGATGACACTCGAGCAAACTGTGAAAGAACTTCAAGCTCAGAACGCTCAGTTTCAGCAGATGTTCTTGGACTTAGCTAATGGTCAAGATGAGTTGAAGACCCTCATCACAAAGGGGAATAAGAAGAATACTAAAAAGCCAACAATCTTTCTTAATATGGGTAGAAGATTCAAGGATCCAATCAGAAGGGCTCTAGATTTTGAGGTCCCTCTGAATGAAGATGATAACCAAGATAAAGAGTGTGAAAACTAAAGAGAATAACAACCTTGGTTGTGGCCAAGATTATGATGAAGACTATTCTGCCGAACAGTATCCTCCTGCTGATGACAGATACAAGCAGCTAGAAGATCGACTTAATGCTATGGAGATACAGAAAGTGTCTGGGCTAGACTATGAAGAGTTGGATCTTATCTCGGGGGTTGTTATCCCTCACAAGTTCAAGGTTCCTACCTTGATATCCATAATAACCTGCTTCGAGTTTTCGTATGTGGTGATCCACCTTGATCCCACTGATTTTTTGTCTGAGAACTTGCCATTAGCCAAGCGTTAATTGGATAACTTCCAACTTTTTCTATGAACAGTCTATACATAACCTCACAAAAGTTGGACAATTTCCAACATTGTCTTACGATTATTCTGTACTTGACCTCGCCAAAGTCTTCAACGGAGAGTATATTGAAACTCTCTTATTGATGAATAGCATAAAGTCATAACCTCATTCAAGAAACGATCTATGCACCTGATACAAACAACATACTTCATACATAAACATTATATACCCTAATATACAACTAGTCTCTATCTCAAACACTCAATCTTTAAAGATGAAAGTCCACAACAATGGATAAGGACTAAGGTTGAAGATGATCGATAGTTCCAAAAGAATCTCACACAAACACACACACACACACACACACACACACACACACACACACACACACACACACACACACACACGCACGCACGCACTCTCTCTAATTCACAAGAAAATAGATTAAGGTGAATAAAGAATACACACAAAGGTTCTCTCAAGTTCTTGGGTAAAATGAGTCTTGGATCTTGATGGTTATCATGAGATTGATCAAGCTTTGAATCATTACAAGATTGATCAATTTTCTTTCACTGTTTCCCTCAAACAACAAATTACACAAACAAGATGTAACAAAAAAAGATGCAACCTGACATGGATTAACACTCAAGAAGTTGTTCTTCAAACAAGAGAAATAAATAAGGTGCTAGAAATAGACACACTAGAGAAGAAAAGACAAATTGACATTTTTGTCTTAAGGTTTCAGAAGAGCTTTCATCATGAAAAAGAGCCACACTATGGGAGTTACTTCTTCATGACTCATGTCTCAATACACATATGTTTGAATCAAAGACACGTCTATTTAAATCTAAGGTGAAAATTTGATTTTTGAAGTTATGATTTGAATCAAGTATAAACCATGATTTGAGTAACATTGTCTTGTGATTCGAGTCAAGTTTAACTTGTGATTCAAGTCAAATCACAAAGAGACAAAACTCAATTTTCACAACTTGTGTGATTCAAGTCATACAATACACACGATTCAAATCAAACAAGTGAATACCTTGATCTAAATGTTCTAACTTGTGATTCAAGCAACACCTGATGAAATGACAAAAATAACTTGCTAGGCACGAAAAAGGATCATAGACCAACATTCTAATTATTGAATAACGAGGAATTTTAATGGTACAATGCTAAATAGCCGAAGCGAACATAATACAACTCAAATGCGAATAACTACAAACACATAAATATTTAAATAACAAGTAAATTACAAATACGTGAATAATCAATACACATACACGTAAATTGACAAAAACATCCAAGCAAAGAAAAATGATATCATACAATAACGTGATTGCAATTTCATTAATAAATATTAATTATTTATATCATTAATTAATACTATTAATTAATATTTAATTATGAAATAATTAATTTTAGTATAATTTGCATATTTATTTATAAATTAAACTCAAATTAATCAAAACCGAACGGCTACTAGTTAGAATTTAGGTCAATGCCGTTGTTTGCGGATTCATTCATGAAATAAAACACAAATCGAACTTCCAACCCTAATTTCCTCAACTTCAAAATTGAAGCCACTAATTGGGACAAGTTTTCAGCTTTTTAATCAGTAAACATAAAAGCTCATCAAATTCAAATATTGGTTGGATTCTCCTTCATCCATTCACTCATTTTAGGGTTTCAGGTTATAAAAATTCTACCTTTACTTTCATCACGTTTATATACTCAAATGATTGAAAGACAATGAAATGAACTTTTTGGATTGAACTAATTTATACATAAGTACTTATATGATAATCACTTATTTTATAAGTGCTAAGTTAATTGGTTTCTTACTTTTGTGGATGATGATAGTTGTTCTTTTTCACTAGGTTGAAGGATTTGAAGATTTCAAGATGTTGGCTAGTCATCCTGAAAAAAGAATATCATTCGACCGATTGATTCGTTATGGCGATCTGGTTATTGTTTACGAGAGGCATGACAATATGAAGGCGGTAACAGTGTCTGAGGGTTCGGTTTTGCAGAATCGCTTTGGTGTTTTTAAACATTCAGATTGGATTGGAAAGCCTTTTGGGTGTAAAGTATTCAGCAGTAAGGGTGGTTTTGTTTACTTGTTAGCTCCGACTCCGGAATTATGGACTCTGGTGTTAAGTCATAGGACTCAAATTTTGTATATTGCGGATATTAGTTTGGTTGTCATGAATTTGGAGATTGTTCCTGGTTGCTTAGTTCTTGAATGTGGAACTGGAAGTGGGTCTTTAACTACTTCACTTGCAAGAGCAGTTGCGCCTAAAGGACATGTCTATACATTTGATTTCCATGAACAAAGGGCTGCATCAGCTAGGTAACGGATAAGGAAGAAGATACTGAGATTGTTCCTTTAGAAATTGCATTTTAGATGATATAATGTTTTGCCTATATGTATGTAGCTTTCACACGTGACTTCTAGATTATTTTGAATGATTTAAGTTTGATACATTGTGAATGTGAAACTTTTTGTACTGTTTTTCGAACAATACAATTGCTTAAGTTCAACTTGATTTTTTAATTTATTTTGTAGGGATGATTTTGAGAGAACGGGTTTAAGTAGCTTAATCAGTGTGGGAGTTAGGGACATTCAGGGTAAAGGATTTCCCGATGAATTTATTGGCTTGGCTGACTCTGTATTTTTGGATCTACCTCAACCTTGGTTGGCCATTCCTTCTGCTGCAAAAATGCTTAAACAAGATGCCACATTGTGCTCATTCTCTCCATGTATTGAACAAGTACAACGATCGTGTGATGCACTTCAGTCCTGCTTCACAGGTACTTTCAGGCAATTTACTATCTAACAATGTTTTCATTTTTCGTTTTTACTTTGTATGAGGGTAGATAGAATGACATTTGATTATACAATGTCCTTTTTAGTTATGGTAAAGAGAAAATGGAAGCAAACCAGAGTGAATACCTTTTCAAAAATAATGAAAGCAATGGTTTAAAAAGTTCAGAATTTTCAAAAATATTTAATCTTTTTTAAAAACACATTTTCATAAACTTCAATGATGATTTCTTCTTTCTGTCATCATCTATATTTTCTGATTTTCCTCCATCTTTTGCATTTTCTTTGTTTCAAGTTACTTGTGCAACATGCCATCAACTTTCTGCAGAAATCTGTTAGAATAAGTTTGGATTCTACTGTTTTACTCTTAATTTACTGGATGATTACTTGTGGATTTATCAATGAAACTTTGGAAATAATTGCGAACAAAGTTGTATTACAAAAGAGAAATAAAACTGCATTAAGAGATATAAAGGGGGAAATAACCTTAAATTACACCCACTGTTAGGGATGTATCCACTATCGTTTAGCTATGATTAATCTCTGTCGGGGAACCTGTTTGACACATAAGGCGGGTTCTTCCCTCCCAACACAAGGCGGGCTCAAACCACTGACTTTACTTAAAGAATCCAAATTTTTTATCATTTGGACCAACCCGTTGTTGATTCTTCTATTCTATTTATTCTTACATTTATTCTAAGTTTTAACATAAAATACAACTAAATTAGGCTGCGCCTTATCTCATAATGGGCCTACTAACGAGTCCTATTTTATATTTTGCTTATGTGAAAGATATAAGGACATTTGAGGTACTCTTACGCCAATATGAAGTTCGAGAAGAGAAAATGGAAAGCTTTCATGGAGATGACAATGGTTCTAATGGTTCTCTTTCTCGCAAGAGGAGACAGTGTTCAGATGGAAACCATGTTGTCAGCAATTCTACTTCTTCTGTCATGGCTAGACCTTGTGGTGAAGCTCGAGGTCACACTGGCTATTTGACATTTGCAAGACTTAAATGCTTTTCATGACCAGGTTCTTCAATCATGTCCTTCAATTTTGGTAGCAGAGAAAAACTATTGTATTCTTTGTACTTCTTTTCAATTCGAGCATCATGCAAGAAATTGTTCATGTTTGTTATAAACTTAAAATTATAGGTTTTGAAAGGAAATTTTTGTATATCATATGTGCTCGGGCTACAAACATGCCCGAGAAAGTACTAAACAGTGCGAAAATATGTGACTTTCCACAATTAATTTTATTCATTTTCCATGTATTCTCACCAGGAAGGTGATTGATTTTTGTTATTAGTAGTTTCTTGGTACTAAAAGGTCCATACTTTGTTTACACTACAAAGTCAGTGTATTGCATTTTAACTAAGCAGATCCTTTAACTTAGCTTATTAAAAACGAAATCCATAAACTTAATTTATAGTTTTAGATTCAACTTTCTTATTTGTTTTCATGTTGATCTTTTGAGTTTCAAAATGTTAACATCATTCCCCTAGCAATAGCATAGCCAGCAGGTTCCCATCCCATATCCAATACACCTCTACCTCTCCTCTTCTCTCCCTTCCATATTCTTCTATTAGTATCAGATTGATATCAATTAATATTACCATGATTTGTTCTTAATTTAAGATTTAGTCTATGTATTCTATAAATAGGAAACTATCAAGTCAATAGCTATAATCAATAATACCTTTCTCTCATTTTTTATTGATAATCACAAATTCAACATGGTATCTGGAGCATGGTTTGTCTTTGGGTTTTGTCGTCAAGGCTAATCGTAATTTTATATTTATTTGTCATATGGTCACCATGGTGCACGGACGCACAACCACAAGATTAAGATTGTTGTCGTTTTGTATCGTTTGAGAACATAACTACGCGGTAGTTTCAATTTTGAGAGGAAAGAGCCATTTTTTCCGCGTTTCAGATTTTGTTGGCCATTCTCTGGTCACTTTAGCCTACCACTTGAGTTTTGTTTTATTTTGGTTGTTGCAAATTTGTCTTTCAACGTCATTCAGAGGTAATTTTGGTTAACAGTTTGATGGTTGTCGAAAATGTTTCATCTCCAGCCACTCTAGTTCATTTTGGTAAATCTACGGCCTGCCTATCTCATTGTGTTTGATCATAGATTTTAGATTCTAGTGCTTTTGATCATGTAGTTTGATTACCTATCTCATTGTGTTTGATCATAGGGGGGCGTTTGTTTCGCGGAATCAAAATTTATTCCTAAGAATTAATTACTTAGGAAAATAAAGATAGGAAATTTATTCTAAGGAATTTTTAAAAAAAAGTGTTTGACAAACATTTTGATATTCCTTGAAAATTTATGATTTTAATTAATTTTTTTAAAAAGTTTATAAAATTTCATTGGAATCCACATTCTCATCCTTTTACATGAGAATAATTTCATAAAAATATGAGAAGTTATTTTTTTTCTTTGAATTTGTATTCTTAGAAATAATTATTTTCTAACAAACATGGGTATATTCATTTCTTATTCATGTATTCTCAGGAGTCTTGTTTCTAAATTTGAAACAAACACCCTATAAATTTTAGATTTTAGTGCTTTTGATCATGTAGTTGGTAATCTGTTTTTTATCTCTAATTTACCAGCTTTTAAAATAATTCACAGTATTACTTTTGCTAATGGTTCTTGATCTTACCGGATCAGAAATGGACCGTCGCAACTGACTCGGGCAGAAGTTGAATGAGATGGGGGTACCTGCAAGACACTCTGATGGCAAAGTAAGTTGTGGAATGAGCAAGCAAGTATGAGTTTAGAGAGATGGATTGAATACCCGACCCTCTTAGGAGAGAGGATATTTATAGCCCCCAACGTTGGGCCAAGGTTCTCACTCTTGGGCCACGTTGAGGCCCAATAACAGGAACTGCCAAGACTTACGTGTGTATGGAGTCCAACAAGTGGGCTCCCCCTGGTCAACTGCTCTGCGAGAATAGAGTTAGACCCATGATTTCCAGAGGGCAGTTTAAGATGGCTGTCGGGGATCGTGGGTCACGTCCTCCAACTGTCGGATGGAGAGTTGCCCAATGGTCCCTAACTTGGGTTGTCTTTGGGCTTTCCGTTCGAAGGGCAAGTGTAGGCCCAATCTAGATCAGGAGCCCCCAAGTTATTGCCCTTGAGCAAGAGGGTGGTGACTTGAGTTCAGCTCTCGATATCGGAGACTTGATCGAGATAGACGGCCAAAGTCCCTCGAAAGGAACGAGTGGTTGCCCGCGTGGGGGACAAGCTCGAGTACGTCGGGGGATATCATGGATGAGCAGGCAGCGAGATCGAAGGGGTCAACCGCTTGCTCGAGAGGACGTATTAGTGATGGGGAACATCTGCGAGATTCCCTTTGACATGCCCGTCTTGAGGTAGTTTGTTAAGCATTACTTCGTCCCCGAGGTGGTCGAATGGATGTGCCCCTATGTACACTCTAATGTCGAGCATTTCCTCGCGTGGGTATCTGCCTCGTGCGTGTCTGGGGACGACGCGTAAGAGTCGGGCGTATGCTCGTCAGTCTAGAAGGGACGCGTGGTTGACAGTTGAGCCACGTGGCTAATGCTTTGGGGTGCCACCCCTTCAAGGGAAAAGCAAAAAGGGCTAATGAAATGATGACTTTTCATGAGGGACCCCTTGGGGCGTGGGTCACTTATAAAAGGGGCCCCTGGGTCTCATTTGTCATCTTCTCAAGTTTCCTCTCAACCTTTTCTTGCTCGTGGTGTGAAGCGATCCTCTCAACTTCTCAGATTTACTTGCTCGTTGTGCGAAGCAATCCTCTTTAAATTCTTCATCCAAGTAAGTTATAACCTCTCAACACCATGTTTCTTAAGCGTTCCTGGATTAAATGTCAAAATTACTCCTTGATTGGATGAACATTCATGAGTTTTATGATGAATACTCATGAATGTTCATTGGAGTTCATGGATTCCGTGTCGAGCACTCATGAATGTGTCGGACACTATGAACGTTCATTAGCTATAGTGTCGGGGCGGCCTCCCCGAACACTGTCTATGATAGGGGATGGTTTCCTCATATATAGGGATTATCTCGGGCTTGCCGCTCGATGAGTGATCCCTCCGATAACATGTCCTTCCAATGTAATGGTCCGCTTTAGCGTGTAGTCGAGGGTTTGGGTTGAGTTCGTCGCCCTTTCACTTGATTTGCGGTGGAAGGGTGGATTTGATAATGTCGAATTCACTAATTTCCCCTGCTTTTCAGGTATAATGGCGCGCTCAACCGGGGACGATATTCCGGTCGCCAATCGCGAAGACGAGCCCCATACCGACGAGGACTCTTTGGCTTGGGTCGCTCCTGAGCCCCGGGATAAACGATCGTGCTTTTTCCAAGATGCGACGGATGCGTTCAATTGCCCAGAGGAACGCGCAGAAGGGCCCCCCCGCCAATTGGATGCTCCAAATTCCTCATCGGGACCGAAGAATATGCTCGACGTATCCGGGAAAACGGTTCCCCGTGTATGAATTTGCTTTTAAAGAGGCGGGGATGCGCTTGCCCTCCAATGATTTCCAAGTCAGGGTTTTCCAGTGGCTTCAATTGGCGTCTTCTCAACTCTATCCGAACGCGCTGGCGTTTATGCGAGCGTTTGAGCCCGTCTGCCAGTATCTAGGGATAGGCGCCACGCTGCCCCTTTTTTCCCGCATCTTTCACCTCCAAAGACAATCTGTCAGAGGGGCGCAGACGTGGGTATCCTTCAAGCAGTTCGGGAAACTCTTCCGGCCTTACCTGGAGTCCGTCCGAAATTTCAAAGAGAGGTACTTCGTCGTGAAGCCCCTGACGGACGCGGCTATAGGTTCCCTGTATACCCGTGTGGAAGAGGTGGAGGATGGGCGGACAATTACCCGACTTATGGCCAGATTCCCGCTCGAATGGCAGTGGAAGCATTATGAACAAAGGCTCGAATACTATGCAGTGAAACCCGAGGACTTGGACGCCCAAGACCAGCTTTCATACGAGAAGCTGTCAGCCTATGTCAAGAGTTTCTCCCCCGCGAAATGCGTGGATGTGAACAACAACCTCTTGTTCGACAAGGGGGAGTATCTTTTAGTCAATAGGTTGATCAACACGAAGGCCTTGCTCGAGTGCTCCTCAAATGGGGAAGCCATTAGGCTTTTGGGTAAGGGGCGTAGCCTAGTTAATTTGCTGCTCTTTATGTGGGGACGTGCTCGCGTTATTTTTAATTTTTCCAACTCGACTAACAATTCTTTTTGATTGTAGGTCGAATGGCATCCCTTTCTGAGCGTCTGTTGAAGCTGATACCCAAGAATGCATCCACTTCAGGGCCAAGGAACAGAGTCACCAAGTTTCAAGAACAGGCCAAATCTGTCGGTCGTGCCAGTAGTTCCCCTTCCTCATCAAAAAAATCCTAGTTCCTCTGCTGAACCGGCCCAGATTCCCATCAACAAGCTCGGGGCTAAGAGGAAGCGTGTAGATAACGCTGCGGGCGTAACACCTGAGGGTGACAAAGCTCCCGCAAGGGTCTTTGTATTTCCTCCTTGCTATCTAAATCGTGATCTCTTCAGCGAGGAGAACTCCCTCGACGTGCGCGAGGAGTAGAGGGAGGCAATCTTGACTGAAGACAAGGAGGTTCGTCGGAAGCAACTGGCCGAGGACGTGGCCGCTGTGATGAGGGTGCTCGAGACAGCTCTTTCGCTCAACGATGAGTCCTCGAGTGCTCAAGCCTCTCTCGACACGGCCTATGCCAAAATTCACAAGCTGAAGGCCAAAAATGAGAAGTTGAAGTGTGATATCCTCAACCACGAGTCAAAGTTTGAGGCCCAAGTTCGGCTTCTCAAGGATTTAAGTGAGATGAGACCTCAGCTGGAGGCGGCCACTAAAGAGAATGAGCGTCTGGTCGCTCGTAATTTGGAGTTAGAAGGGATCACTGCCCCCGCCGAGGATGAGACCGATGCGGAGAAGAACATGGCAACCAGGGCAGATTTGATCGCTCACATCCGTGTTCTCGAACAAGACGTGGTTGATACCCTTGGCTAAGACTTTA